GCCTGCACTCTCGCAGCCGAAGATTTGGCATGCACAGAGCTCAATTTGTAAAAACTCCTTGCCAAAATTCAAAATTCCACGCCCGTTGAGACAGTATCCATCCTTTGCATCATCTTATCAACTTGTCCTGATCCCTCTCACATTCATCCCAAGGAATTGTCTTCCAGATTTGTGCGCCACGCTTTGCTTCCTCCGTCGGGTGTAAATATCGGCGTGGGCGTGTATCTGGCGACCAGCTAAGGCCAGAGAAAGTCGAAAAGAGGTATGGTCATTGGAATGAGGATGTACTAGGTCGTACTTGTAAACTTGATGAGGCTTAGGTAGGAATCGATTTTGTTGGGAGTGAAAGATTGAGATGGTGGAGTAATTTGAATTTTTGTCTCGAGGGCCAACTTCTTTGGCATTGCGAAATTTGACTGAACTTGGCTCTGGGAGAATATTTCACTCCTAGGTTCGTAGAGGACACCGCGTACAGGTGTTCAGTCTTGCCCTCCCTATAAGTGGTATATTGATAATGCTTAGTTGCATGCTGACTTGAAGCTCTCTTTGCAAGAGTGTCGGCCAGCACATTCCCTTCAATTTCCAAGATCATATTGAGAAAGGGCGAAAGCTCACGGTTATCGAGGGTCTAGCAGGACTAGCTTCATGTACTTCGTTGCTAGCTTGATGCAACCCGGACTCTTGCGTGCTCGAGCCCCAAAAAGATAGCGAGGGCACCCACTTTCGTGATAAGTTGGTAAACAAACCACAACAATTTATTTACTACTAGGTTGGATGGTGCAGTGGTACACCATTCGGGTCGTTCTACCACCCAAATTCTGGGTAGGTTGAACACTTACCCAATTTGAGAAAAGCAAGAGCTGGACCAAATCCAGCAATACCCACAAACCATTCTCTCCCGCGGTGATACTGAATCCGTAGGATAATGAAAGCACACTCGCATAATTGTAAGTTTTAAACGCTTTTCCATGTGGTGGATATGCACGGAAGTTATTATACGCCGTAAGGGTCAACCTGGAGTGGCATCTGTAAATGAACTCTGAGTGTGAGTGTTCAAATCGTCAAATTGAGTCATCCTACCTAAGGCACATATCTTCCGATAAAACCTGCATCGGCCTTAAGGTGCCAAATAAAAACAATTCATTGATTTGTGTATTTGTATATACCACTGTGGTCTTCTACTGTGGTCTTCTACTGTGCCCTTTCAACCGATCGGGACTCCATCATGGGGTGCAACGCTGGGTGCTTGAAAAAAAAGGTCTCTGAATCTGACATTAACCTTTCCAGAGATGGATTTTAGTGCCTCGTTGTCAATTCATACTAATAAACATAGATCAAATACTGCATCAAGACTGATCCGGCTCAAATTAAAATCCAAATAACAATCTGCGCCTACCAGCTCCATAATTTTAGTTTTATGAGAACCTACAGGTGTTCCTAACACATAGTACTGGGCGACACCCAAGTTGATTTAGACATTTATAACGTGCCAGGTACAAGCCTTGTCTGCAAAAGCCATGAAACAAGCAGCTCATCCCGAAAAGACTCGGAACTACCGATATAATTAATTAATTCCAGTCTAGGCAAAAACTAGAAACAAAGCCAAATTTCTAGATCCGGAGTTAAACGCTTCACTCATATCTCCAGTTGTCATCAACAAAGATTTCAACTCATGACTGCACTGTAATTTGCGCCAACTACTGCCGTTTAAGCTGAAGTAATTTTCCCATACTTTCGCCCGCTAGGTTAACGCAGCCCCTTCTAACTGAAGTGTCTGTTGCTTTACACGAAATCCTAGTCTTGGCCTTCACGAGTACCCCAAAGTCGAAAACCCTCACTGTCCATGAGAACATAGTTAAAATTTATATAATTGGGAAGGAAAAAATGTAGCTAGTATCTTATATATAGATTCTAGGAGTCCACTATAGTCATTGACTCAGTTAGGACTATCATATAAATCTAATCTAATCTAAGTCGGAAACCCCTAAAACATTGGGCCGGCCTGCCTGTCGTTGACCATTTTTATATTTCTATCAACACACCGCCGAACTATCCTCCCACATGAGGTGGAGCTCCATTAGAGCAAGGGTCCCTCATAAACCAAAAATTGATTTTTAGATGTAATATATTTATTTCCTCTATACCGGTAGATGCATCGTCATTCTGTTTGTATATTAACATGGTAGGCAATCGGCACCCCCCGCACTCCTATGGAAACTTGAACAAGAATGGAGCTAGGCTGGATCAGGCATCCTACCATAAAAGTACAATTACCCTCACCCCACTTGAATGATCAGGCCATCTCAGACTTCACCTATGTGTTAAAAATTCCAAGTCCAACCATCCAGGGAATCCGGTTCTCACAAACCGAAGCGCAAACTTTTCCTCAGCCTCGGCCACTACGCGCTCAAACCCCTGATATCTGCGTTGACTCTGAAATATAAATATCTTCCCGGGTCTCCTCGTTGCTCTAGCCTTGCACCCTCATATCGTACCATTGGGTAGTTATCATCATTGGGGATCTGAAACACCGCGTAAAAGTGTGATCCAATCGGTGATTATTCTCTCTTTTCCTCTTTTTGACACATCCTGTTTCCTTTGTAACTTTCTTCATTAGAGCGAGTATTCGTAGGTAATCCGATGTGTGTGGAGGTGGGTCGCAGGTATAGGAACAACCAAGTATTGTTTCTTCGTCCATATATTAGGGATTGGAAAGATGTTGGATATCTGAATACGACCTCGAGATAGACCTAGGCCCATTCGTGAATTGCACGTTGGTGGTTGTGAGACTTTATTCAACTTTCTTGCGGGTATGAAATTTTTTTCGCTTCATTTCTCGACCTAAATACCAAGTGAAACTCCTTCGAGCCGACAATCTATCAAATGTAACTGATCCCATCCATGTTGGTGACTGAATATCGGATCTGGAAGAATTTTTCACTCCTAGATTTGAAGAGGATACCACTGATAGGTATTCAGTCTTCATCAGCTGTATATGTATAGCGTTATGAGTTCCTAGTGGGGGATTGACCGGTAATTAACATGGCATGCTCCCGTTTACGACTAAGGTAGCTTCCTGATCGGTGGTTAGGGCGAGGTAACTAGTGGTACGATGAAGTTGTAAGGCTCGCGTGAGATTGTTCAGATTTATATTGATGAGAGGTCGTTCAACATAGATGTGCTTGTGTTTATTTTGGAATTCTGATCGAAAGCAATTCTTCTTGGCTACCTGAAACATTCAGACGGTACTGAGCTTTTAAAACGGCAGCATTTGAAGGTTCAAGGTCGTCTTTGCCAGAAGGGAGTGGCTTAGTATTGAGTCATTCATTATTTTACTTTCGGTTTTGCTTGATTCTTCTGTAGTAGCTGTATTCAACACCGATCGTATTCATTAATTTTTCTCAAATAAAAATAAGGACTAACCAGATAAATTTGCTCTATTCTTATGGTTAGGAGAGAGAACTTGGGTTTATTAATGATGTTAAGGTTGTTGCACGCAGTGTGACTAGGACTGTTCCTGTACCAAATTAGGCGAAACAGATAATAAATTTTTGGTTTTTTTAATTTCATTTACATCGTATATAACTCTATGACAATGAGCTACAGCTCGGCTAGCGGGTAGCATACCAGATAGGATAGTCAAATTACTGCGAGGTGTCCAAAGAAAATTCTTGAAGTCTGGTACAGGAGCATATAACTCTACCAGCAGCAGGGTACAAGAACACGAATCCTCGTTTCACCAGATAGATAACTACCGGATACAAAGGAGGGTCCAACACGTCGGACTACCAAAAGAACTACCTGTCAAGAGAACGATACTATCTGCATTTAGTAAATTTAAGCAGACCACTAGGGGAAGTGAGAACAGGCACGTCATGATTCGAATGCTAGACATTGAAGAATGGACCAGAACTGGTAGCATTGAGAATGCGAAAGTGAGATAAAAAGATGCCGGTAAGGTGGCCGCGTTCCAGGAGTGGAAAATACATTGACACGTCCAGGGAACGAAAAACTATCTGCTTATCGAGCTTGGGCAGACCCTGAACATTGGAAAGCCGCGAATATTGTTACAAATAAGACAACAGGCAGTAAAAGGATCACCTGTAGAAATAGATCCTCAAATATCCACCGGAACCTTAATAGGGCCTAAATTAGTATTGCAGTTCAGATAAGATGTGAGCACGTTAGTCTTAATTCTTATCTGTATCGAAGGAAAGTCCTCGGAGTGATTAATCCAAAATACCAGTGTGGATATACGTCTCAAAATGTCAAACATATGGTCTTGGCGTGTCCTCAGTGGGCAGTGGGAAGAGAGGTGCTTCGAAAGGCAAAAGATAGGTCATTTGCGGCAATGATGAACAGCCCAGATGACATAGAGAGAATTACAAAATGGATCCTGGCAAAAGGCTGGTTTGAACAATTCTGGCTTGCAAGAGAAGTAGAAATAGCATTGGACGAAAATATGAGACGATGTGAACAAGGATAAGACGGAATTCACACTACATAAACTGTGTAAACGCACTTCCTGTAGGAAATCTCAGAAAACCAATGGACACGAGACAGACAGTTTTGGGGTGTTTTTACCGAACTGGTTTTCTCCTATGTAAATAATATAGCTAGATATACCTGCATGGGCCCACAGGGAACCTGAATGGACTAAATGAAATCAAATTGAGTCTATGACAATTGATTATTGTTGTTAGGTTTAGGAATTGTTCAATAGGAAAAACCCAGGATTTTGGCCCCAGTCTTGATTTCCAAACCTCCTAGTGCATAGTCATATCTCGATCTACACAAATTTAATGGTAGTCTCCTAACAACACTCTATTGATCCAATCATTATATCAAAAAATTTAAAACCATCACCTTAACCTTCAGTTAATGCCTCGGTAACTGAATGAAAGAAAACTGGTATGAAAGTGAGGACATGAATAAACAGCCCATTGAAGTATGGAGTTAACGTAAAATTAGCGATAAGAGATAGATAGTTTTTATTGCTAATGAAATCCTCAATAATAGCCAAGTTTACTGGCCAATTGCTTGTTCGTTTTGATGAAAGTTATTCCGCAGCATTTCTACATTATGGTCGAGCATTGTCAACGCTCCAAATACGACCTCATGGTCTGACCCGCAAGTCACTGCGGAAGATGAGCATGAGAAGCTCAATTATTCGTCTGCCTCATCGGTACTTCAGTAATGCCCACTCACATCAGGGAAAAGAAACGATTGTAACGAGTCAACACAATAAACGAGTTAAAAAGATATCGACTGATATAAGGGAATTTTATATCCGGAAGGAAAAATGGCGGATTAATCATGGTTCGACAAATAGTACGCGACCATTGGATTCCAAGAAAAATCTCATCCACACCACAGATCTTTCCAACATATTGGAAATTGATATCGAGAAGAGAACATGTCTTGCCGAGCCCAATGTTCCAATGGATCGGCTAGTTGAGGCCACTTTGAGATGTGGCCTTGTGCCTTTGGTAGTTCCAGAATTTCCCGGAATAACAGTCGGTGGGTCGTACTCAGGAACATGTGGCGAAAGTAGTTCCTTTAAGCATGGATTTTTCGACAAGAGTGTTAGTTCGGTAGAGATGGTACTTGCAACAGGTGATGTGAATATTCTTTCAGCAAATCAAAACTCAGACTTATTTTATGGAGCCGCCGGAGCACTTGGAACGTTTGGAGTAACGACTCTCGTTGAGCTTCGACTCCAACCCGCCAAAAAATATGTCAAGACTACTTACTATCCTGTAGAAAGTATCCAAGATGCCATTGAAAAGATTCAAAAATTCTGTTTAGACTCAAGCCTTGAATATATCGATGGTATTATGTTCGACCCAAAATCTGGTGTCATAGTTACTGGATATCTCACTGATTTCGCTGATGCTAACAGCTCAGTTGTCCGGTTTGGTAGAAGAAGCGATCCATGGTTTTATCTGCACGCTCAGGAAAATGTTAAAAGAGGTGGTGTGCACGTCGAATACATACCTCTCGCCGACTATCTCTTCAGGTATGATAGAGGTGGCTTTTGGGTCGGCACTGCTGCATTTGAATACTTCAAGTTCCCATTCAATAGATTCACACGTTGGGCGCTTGATGACTTCTTACATACCCGAATGATGTACACAGCGCTTCACGCTAGTGGACAATCTAAGAGATTCATCGTACAAGATCTAGCTCTACCATACGAAACAGCCGAGGAATTTATTTCTTACACACAGTATGAACTTGGAATCTGGCCCTTGTGGCTATGCCCATTGCAGTCAACTTCTATGCCTACAATGCACCCCCATTCTCTTTTAAAAGTGGATAATTCAGAGGGGAATTCATCAAATTCACTTCTTAACATAGGGCTCTGGGGATGGGGCCCAAAAAATACAGATGATTATGTCCGAAAAAATCGAGAATTAGAGATGAAGCGTAAGAAATTCCCACTCCATCCTAACCCTTGCTCTCTTTACGAAATAGCAATCAAAGTACAGGTTATCAAGGCCAGCAACATAATACCTTGGGCCTTTTATTACTCCAGAAATATGATGAGCTAACTTCATTATTCTTAGTCAAAAGCCTCGGGGGCATGAAGTGGCTCTACGCACAAACTTATTATGACGAAAAAGAGTTCTGGCAACAGTTTGATCAACCTTGGTACGAAGCGTTGCGTAGTGCTTACAATGCTACAACGTTGCCCAATGTTTATGATAAAGTCAAAAGGTATGAAAGCGGTCCTGATAAAGTAGTTGCACGTGTCTGGGATAAGACATCTATCTTTCGACGCCTTATGGGCCAATGGCCTTTTGCAGGCCTTTACGGACTACAGAAGGCTATCGAGAGCCGCTCCTACCTGGCTGCGCGGAAATCGGAATGGAAAAGATAATTTTATGAAGACTCAAATCTAGTTGCAGTGTCAGTAAATTACCTATTCCAAAAGGTCCCTGAAGCCTATTTAGCTATTGAAGTAGTGGTATAATCTTGATATCCATGAAGACAGGGATATAATTCGGCTCACATGTTTTTTATTTAGTCTCAGGCCCTTGACCAAGACTTTCTATCTACTGAAATGCACGACGGGTGGAACTGGCCGAGATTTAACCTTGAAGCCTGCCCTACTTGTTCCAACCCATTCGAGTTCTAACCATTCTCGCTCATTGTACATGTAATAAAGCAAACAAATAATTGAAACGAGGAAAGGAAATGTCGAGCGGAATTGAGCCCGAATTCATCATCCTGAGCTCTCCGCCAGCATAATAGTCCTAGCATGTATTCCAAAATCTGTTCTTGCATCCAGCAAGGAAATAGTTTGCGATCAACCCACCAGAGCAGCCTACGAGCTGGGCAAAATTTAAAATTTCTGGCTCATTGTGTCCGAGAATAGTTAGATAAATATTTATTCCTGACAGGCGGAAGCGTAGCACCCATAGAGCTCGACATGGAAAAGGCTAGCCCTCCGATGACTACAGACGACGATAACTCATTTTGACGTTTGAACCACTCATGTAGTTGATGTATTCGCTGATACCACTCGAGACGTTTGTGCTAGTGAATCTCACACCTCCGTAAACCTTAACTATCCACCATAGATAATACGGGAAAAACCTTTGGCTACCCTAACATGCCTTTGTCATCTTGTAAATAGCTACCGCACGAGATAAGGCCTCAAAGTCCTCCCTTTTTCGAGTGAGGTAAGTGTCCGGGCTACCCAGACTCTAACTTTGGGAGATGACGACCAGAAGGCGAACCATGAAACCTTCCATCCCTTAAATATCTGGATATATTCAAGTGCTTTGCAGCACATTAAGGGAGTTAAATTAAGACATATAATTGGGAAATAATATATTTGGACTGAAGGGGTAGTGGTTCATTGGGAGAAGGTTAGAATTATAATTATAAATGTGTCATAGCTAGATAGCTGAATACAATATGAATTGAAAAAAAAAAAGAAAAAATACATCTTCCACCGTTATCTATTATCAAAGCGTCGGCAAAACTATCCAGAATCTTAGTTTAGGCAGCCATAAATATCCCAGAGTCGAAGATTTTCAGTCTCAGTATGTCTTTGAGAAACGTCTTTCCTTTCTCGTTTTATGTCCTAGTTGCCTGTCCTTTCTCAAGCTATATAACCCCATTAGATCAACATTCCCCCATAATCCAAGACCTAATTTTTGTATCTGAAAACTTAATTTCCTCTTTGTAGATATACGTGGCATCTAAGCTCATGTCCTTTCTAATTTTGGGGGACTATCCCTAATAGCTGTCAGTGGCGTCTCCTACGAGCCTCCGGCTCTCACTATAGAGCCTGCAGAGCCGAGATTGAGTAACAAAGTCCTCACTTGGACGTGGATTCCCAATCGCTTTCGCCGTCTGTATCGTCTTCATCTCTCAACACATTCCCCTATCCCCATTATCATGAGGCTAACCACGATCAGATCAGATGGTAGGGTCGGAGCCCTACTCATCACTACCCTTGGTCATAGGGGAAAAGCCATCCGATGAGTTTCTGGAGCGTACCCAGCACCCGATACGGAGATTGCGGATTGGACAAGTCGACCTCGACTGTTACAAAGAAGGGAGATATAGATGAATATGCGCACCTCATGTGATCCCGGTGTCTAGGCCTCGCCTGGCTGGGGCTGCTGGTTTTTTGAGACTTTTTCCCGCGCACGCAGTTTCAATTGCTACCATTTTTATTTATAATTTTTTGGGTAGAAGGTTCCGTGGAAAAGGTGGCTGAATTCCACGGGTAAATACTGAGCTGAATGGCTATGCATCAAGGGAAATATATCAATGATCTTTCAAGTAACAAAAGATGATAGGAGCACTGTGCAAGGTGTGGCCTAGGTCAGAGAGGAGCTCATATTGCTAGATAGTTTATGATTTAATAAGCACAATAAACACAGACTTATCCACTCTAATCATAGAAATTCGATTGTTGTGCCTCCGACAGCGTGTAAATTGGGTGGGTGTTTTTTTCAGGCCACGGTTGTAATCAAATTTGCATCTTCGTGCTTGAAGCGACGGTGGTGCGCCAAAAAATCCTTATATCCTGATGTCTCAGAAAGAAGTTTGTGGATTGACCTCCAAACAGCACTAGATCGTTTAGTCTACGTCGCCGCATTTGCAGATCTTGATATCGATCAGGAAGATTAGCTTACGTCCATTTCCCTCTCATTGCTCGTCTCCGTATTTGCATTAGATACCGAAGATGAGCTAGGCTGATGTGACTGGGTTGTCTCTGAATATCCGGACGTACTCCCAATACGGCGCAAGCTTCTTTATCCGCCTCGGCATTCCCTTTCAAATTTGAGCGTCCTCACACTCACACTCATGCTATTTCCATGTTGGCTTTTTGTGAAACAGCATGAAAGAAGCGGATCGAATTTATGTTGGAAGGTGGACTCTCCATCTGTAAAACTATGATAGCTGCTTTCAAAGTAGCACGGTTATACTCTCCCTCATTCACCTCGCAATTGTGGCGGTAAGTAGAGCTACTGTTGTTCTGGCAATCTTGCCATCAGAGGTTTTCGCATCCATATGGGAGCCCCCGCCTTTTCTTGGAGGTAGTATCTCCTCTATCAAGCTCATAACCAAAACTTACCGACCGTGGCCTTCTAAGAACCAATTTAATGAAGGGCATAACTCAGATGGGGGGGCACCTCCTCGAAATATTCTTAGTGCTCTTTTACTCCTCGTGGCATTGATCTGAGTTTTCTGTAGTAGCCTGGCTGTAGTAATGGTATATCATCTTCAGCTGGGGGTTATTAGCACTGCGTTCAGTAAATCCTGGAGACTTGGGTCGCGGGTCAATTAAAGTCTTTTGTGCCCTGTACTTCAGCGGGCCCGCACATTATACCTGTGTAACAGGCTTGTCTTAGGGCCGGCCACTTAGCGACTCGTGCATAGAGTTCGATTATTTGAAATTCGTTTTCATTAGCCTTTAAGTGGTTAAGATCCCTGTTCACTTGGATATGTATTAAATCTGCCTCGCTTCATAGCCTATTGACCACTACCCACAATTTTTTAACGCTAAGGCTGCTACGCCTGGTCCTCTAGTGTTAATCTTGCAAACTTCCCGTTCACATCTCATGCATCCCGCCGCAGCGCATTATTCGTACCCCCCCCTTTGCATTAACATCATCTGCTCGGAACTGCCTCTGAATTATTAAATATGCCCCAACTTGAGACATTAGTCATACTGGATAATTAGGTACGAAAAGGATATTTACGGATCCTCAAGAGATTGAACTGAAGTCCCAGATCATTAATCACCATGTGAAACGTAAATCTCTTGGTTAAACAGATTAACGGTCCAACCTTACATATTGCATTTAATGTCGTGCTATACCCAAAATTTTGGCGCTGTACTTCCCGAAGTTACTACGTAATTACTGCAAATACGGTAAACTTGGAGGAATTTAAGCAATATTCCTACTTTGACAACTACCCACACACACCCGCTAGCCATAGGTTTGAAAAAGGCAAACAACCCGTGATTTCCCCTCCTAGAATATTCAACGTTCTGTGGCAAGCTATCTTGACTAGTCCAGATAACCTTTTATTGTACAAAAGCTTCCAGCCTTCATTTCGTGTACTCAATTATCGACTGAGATTTTACTAAACCACCTTCATATAAGTATACCTCTTTTTTGAGAAAATATATGTAATACCTCCTCGCTAGAGCGAGGTTTGGGACTTAACAGTAGCAGCTGGCCCGGAGCTAGAATTGAGCCAGAAAAAATCAGATCGATTCATGTTAGTAAACCTAAGCGCTCTTGATAAGTCTATTCGATCCGTAAGCCGTGTGCCAGTTAATCATTCTGCACTGGCTCGACTGTCAACCTTGTCAAGCCATGCTAATATTCAACCCAGGTGCGCAGGAGTCTGATATGGTTTATAACTCCAAATTCTAGCTCGCATATCACCGCTACCGGTAGCAAAGCTGCCACCACTAGGGCTTGGTGCTACACTTATGACAGAATTTTTGTGACCCTGTAACATAAGCTGAGTGTTACCTGTCCGAGGATCCCAGAATTGTACACCGCGATCTTTTGATCCTGAAAGCACCCAATTACCATCCGGTGTGAGAGCAACTGAAAGTACAAAGTCCTGATTCTCATTAGAATATGTGTGTATAAGCGCTTGATAATAGTGACGCTTACCTTATGACCTTCAAAAGTTTTGATACAACGTCCGCCTTTTGGTGCATTGTTGGGATGACCACCACGGGGGGCGACCAACTCCCACATCTTAATTGTTTTATCTAAACTTCCAGAGACAAGATCTTTACCATTAGGTGCAAATGCGACCGAGTACACAGAATCCTTGTGCCCATCAGGCCCTTCGAGACGTTCAACAAGATATCCTGAGTTTGTGTCCCAGACTCGCACGCTTTTATCGAGAGATCCGGCTGCAACATACTTTGTGTCTGGAGAAATAGCGACTGTTGTGACGCCATCTTCAATACTCAGTGTTAGTGTGTTGTGCCCTGCCTCAATATCCCACAAGCGAACTGTACGATCGCCGCTACCAGAAGCGATAGTGCGGCCATCCCGAGCAAAGTCAAGAGAATATATATCTTGCTCATGACCGCTAAATGTATTTCTGATGGTTCTAGATGCAATATCCCAGACCTAACACTGTTAAAAAAATTTCTAGTAAATTGTGCCAGATGTACTTGCCCTGATCAGCTTGTCTTCTGCTCCTGTTGCCAAGTATCGTCCGTCAGGACTGAAGCAAACACTCCTAATGTATAGATCACCGACCGAGTCGACTGATTCATCCTGTAAAACACAGATTTTCTGTCCCGAAATTATATCGTATATCTGTGCCGAACGGTTACATCCGGTAGCCACATATTTTCCGTCATGGCTAAATCTCACGCAACAAACGACGCTCTCATGTTGTAATGTGTGAACTAAATCAACGTCTAAGATACGGGGAACTTCGGGGTTAAAAATTGCAAACCAGTCTTGCTCTACTTTTTTTTGGTGGGCTGGAAGCCTTTCCAGTTCCAAGTCAGCTAGGGCATTTCCAACCCCTACTCTGTAGGTTGCAGGATGCTGAGAAGGAATAGGGTGGCCAACCTGGGGTGAAGCAACGGCTCTTGGGTCAGGATATGGCATCTGCTGGTTTAATTGTGGCGTTGCGGGACCTCCTGGTCCTCGATTCGACTGCCTACCTTTTCCTGGTCCAGGGGAATTCGTAGATTGAGTCTGTGAATACCCGTTAGGCGCCGGACCTTGTGAATATGCTCCTTGAAATGACGATTGTGGCTGCTGGGGCGGAGGTCCTTGAAGATTTGGGGGTCCTGGAGGAGGGCCTTGGAGATTTGGAGGTCCAGGAGGAAGACCCTGAAGGTTGGGAGGCCCTTGAGGCGGTTGAGGCATTTGATGTTGTGGCATCTGGTGTTGATCTGTCTGTTGCGGAGGTGCAAGTCCTGGAGCGACCTGTCCTGTCATAATTCCTCCGAAAAGATTGCTTGGACCATGTCCAATCGAAGGAGGTGCTTGTTGCGAAGGACCCGAATTCTGTGGCGGTCCATTTATAGCCGAAGAACGAGGGTTCCCGCCTCGAGCTTCAAGTTCGCGGTGCAAGCGGGATAGCTCTTCATCATATCTGCAAGAGAGTTAGTTTCTGTGCAAATCTTAGGCACATAGCTCGTACTTTTGTTTAAGTGCAAGATGAGTCTGTTCCATAGCGTATACCTTTTCCCTCACGGCTTGCATTTCCTGTATCTGCTGCGCCACTATTATTGTCAATACTGGCCGTTGTGCTTTTCAATGTCCGAGTACGCACTTGAGTGTTCATATTCCCCGCTCGTTCGGGCCTGTGTTTCAAATTCCGCTCTAATTCCCTCGAGTAACTCATTCAATCGCGCATTTCCCGCCCCGGGTGGAGGACCCAGCCCTCGATGTGGATTGTACATGGACATCTTTTAATGGGCGTCCTCGAGATATTTGTTACTGCGGGATGAAAGCCGACTTGGAGGTCGCGGTCCAACGAGTTTTTATTTGATAAACGGAGAATTTGGGCTTCTAAACTGCAAAGGCAGATATGTTTTTCTATTTTTGTCGGAAATTTGCAGTGCAGGTATTACTGGAAACAAATGAATTGCTAGTATCAGGCACATTGTAAGCATTGATATTCCATGAGATACAATTGCAAGCTTCCGAGCAAAAAAAGATTGCCTTGATCAATAATCATCAAGGTGGTGGTAGGCTTACTTATTAATTTGAGAATTGTTAATCTAGAAAGATTGCGAACGCTATCATGTGGGCAAAGGTGGGGATGAAGTTGTTGAAGCCTAGGATACCGCCCTTCAGAAAAGAAGTTTTCGAGGCACAGAAGTCGCCATGGACATCGGTAGTGTGGTCAACTGGGAAGCAGTGGACCAATACAGGAGAAATCTGATCATGTCAGAACTCCCCTTACCCATCAAGTTCTTGGCCAGCTCAGGCAGCAGATTTGATAGGCGCATCCTTCACGCCTTTCCCGTTTCGTTATTAACTTATATTTTTAGGTGTGTCACTATCATATATAGTCACGGGTCCGCATTTAAATCAATTGCTACTTAAGCTAAAGATCCGGCCAGGTGATTAATAGATGCTATTGAATTATCACATATAATTGTCATCCACATATTTTTGCGCGATACATTTATCGTCTATGTTTAACATTATTCTGTTGGGTCCAATCCTATATAACTTAATGCCAGCTTATAGGCAATAGATATGCTGTAATACCCAGTGTCGATGCATCTGTATCTAGTGTGAAAATCTCGATGGGTTGAAGAGGTAAGGGGAATTTCATACCGAACGATATTAAGAGTAGGGCACAATTTCGTTGGTCGGTCTCACGATAGCCTAGATCAATCATTTTTTGGTTAGCGGAGGTTTCCTATGTTTGCAAATATCATCCGCATTTAGTGCTGCAGTCGGCTCATCAACAAAGTTCTATGAAAGCAAGTTCAAATGTTCTGCAGTTCCGTGTTTCGAAGGATAGCTTGGGCTACATGAGTCTTGGTTCCCTGTGATCCGAGTAGCCTACCAGTGTCCCTTATCGGCGAGTAGCTGCGGCTCTCCCTGCAATAAGTTCTTCTAGCTCCTAACCAAGCCCTACAATATCCTATGTACATACGGTTAACATTCCTTGACAGCTACGCTTGATAGGCAAGATGGGTAATGATGGACTCTCCATATCTAGCACCGCATCATGATCTCGATCTACATATGAATACCATGTCCCCGAGTGTATCAAAGCCTGCTCTCGATTAATTCATCGTGAAATTGAGGTATGGGTCGGCAACTGGGGAAGAAGAGCAAATGATATGCTACTATTGGACAGCTCGAAGCACTGACATTGTGTTTATTTTTTGAGGCAGCAAGGATATTGATCATTGTTAGCAGTATTATTAGTCTGGTTTAAAAGTCCTAGGTGCAGGCCGAGCACATCCTGGACACTGGTTCTATGAAGAATGCAAGCAAGCATTAAGCCTAATGCATGGACCAGCTCACCTAGTTCAGGTTGATCAGTACAGGGTAGGTAATCGAAGGGGGGAGAGGAGATGCTGATAAAGAGTGGGAACGGCGCCATTGGGTCCTAGACTCGCCCCACCATGCATCATCATCAAGTTCATCATTAGAGAGCTCAACTCTTGAGCCTACTGTTCGATTTCGAGTATGCGAGATTAATACGGATGTACTGCCATGGGAGTATTTGATATTCTGACTGCTACTCACGCTCGCTAGGAATTGGCGACTTCCAATTCAAGAGGTATGGTATAAAAACAACGTCAACCCAGAGATGACAACCAAATTTATAAATGAAGAGCAACAAAAATCATATCATATTGGAGAGTTAAAGGCGATGAAGACTAAACACCTGCCAGCGATATTTCCGATGGAATTCCTGCTCTCGCTTTAGAATCCGCAGAGTCAAGATTGGGTAATATATTCTCAAATTTGAGCTGAGTTATTGCCTTCTCCTTCAAAGAAAGGCTTCCAATAACACAAATCACGAACTAAACGACAATATTGACGTTGGAAACGTCTACGAATTTCACGCGCGTACTTGGAGCGTATCTTGCCAAGAAATTGTAATAACGTCCTGTCCAGCTATATATGGTGACATCAATTCAGATAATTATCGGGATTGAGATATATTTCTTTACGTCCATTTACATATAACATGCTCAGGTTCATAGACTTCGAGAGTCAAATAGCCAAATTGTATTTCTCCAGATATAGATTCGTTAGATTAATGACTTACTGTGTGAATTTATCCTCATCCTTGATAAGTCTAAAACAGCTTTATAGACTCTTCCTGTTGTGATGGCACAAAGCTAACTGGTGTCTTGTATCGCATAATTATTATCGCATCATACTATAGAAGAATTATTGAATCATGCTTTTTAGAAGGCCGATTTTTTTCTGATTCTCTCTCGGGCAGAATGAATGAATGAATATTTATTAGTGACGGGCACAAGCCCTGCACTCAAAGAGTGTAACAAGGAGAATACTAGCTTCTCCGAAGACTATAACTCAGTTTGAGACTCGGACTACTCATGTAGTGGATGTATTCGCTGATACCACTCGAGATCTTGGTACAAGGGACTTTCACCCTTCCCTCATCCGTTAATATCCAAAGGGAAAACAGGAAGAACCTTTGGCTACCCGAACATGCCTTTAACACCTTGAATATGGCCATCGCGCGGGATATGGCTTCACAGTCCTCCCTTTCTCGAGTGAGGTAGGTGTCCAGGTGTTAATCAAATAGACTCGGTAAGGATGTTTTAGAAAACAAGTTCTTGTGCGTGTCCCTCAAGCTATGTCTCATCTCTATGTATAAACATCACATCCCCCAAACTCCAATTTCACCCTTTGCCCTTAGTCTGGACTACTTGACTTTTGAATGCTTTGACAATCCGACTCCATGTCGGGAACTGATGATATTAAATCTCTCTCATCAGAGTTCCCAAAGCTGACTCGGCCTCCGGTCAATACCATCTACTTTCCTGGGTTTCCACTAATTCCGATACATAACTCAAGTGAATACTGCCTTGCAAATTCACCAATATAAATAATCATGAATTCACTAACATGTAACCCAAACAGAAGGAAATTCTGGTCAACACTAGGCTACCCAGACTTGAATTCGGGGAGATGAAGACCAGGAGGCGGTCCAAAACACCTTCCACCATTGCCTGTTTTAGAGTGTCAGTTGCACTATCCAAAATCGTTGCCTCTGCGCCCACAGAAAAATTTTACTTAAAAACACTCGAAAAATGTGCGTCCTAGAATGCCCATTTGTGACGTCTTCACTCGTTCGTCCCACGTCCCAGTTGCCTGTCCTCCCTCAAGATGTGAAGCCCTATTGGAGCATCGGTCCCCCATAGACCAAGACCTGAGCTTTTTAGATTATGACTTGAATTCTTCCTCGCGGGTATACATAGCATCGTATATGTGTAGTGGGAGATGGCCAGGTTTTGATGAGGCAAATGCCCGATTGCAATTGGAGTAACGCCATTGTTGTTATTTGAGGCGAGGTGGTGTAGTAAAGTTGAGGTGGAGGACTCTTTTTTTTTTGCATCAGATTTTAATTGCGTATGCAGCTATCTAGCTATGACACAATATCAAAGAAAAGTACATAAAAGATGACTCAATTTACAAGAGGAGCACTCATGACTCGGATTTCATTTGCAAGTACCACTGCGAAGTTATGGTAACTTTTTCTTCACCCCAAGTCAACCCCCATCCGTGAATACCCACTCAGGGGAACATCTCAAAAACCCTGAGTTATCCAGACATGCCTCCGTCACCCATCAATTTTTCTCCGCGCGAAATGTAATCTGAGATGTCTTCTTCCCAAGTGGAGTAGGTGCCCAGGCTACTCAAACTATACCAGAGAATATCACCAGGAGGTGGACCACAACACCTTCCATCGTTTGCTTGTGTTTATAGTGTCAGCTGCACTCTCGCAAGCGAAGTCTTGGCGCGCACAAAGCTCAATTCGTAAAACTCCTTGCCAAAATTCCTCGCCCGTCGAAAACGTATCCCTCTTCTGCATCATCTTGTAAACTTGTCCTGAAACCTCTCACGTCCATCCCAGAGAGCTATCTCCCAGATTTGTGCTCCACGCTTTGCTTCCTCCGTCGGGTATAAATATCGGCGTGGGCGTGTATTTGGTGACCGGCTGAGGCCAAAGAAAGTCGACGAGAGGTGTGGTCATTGAAACAAGGATGTACTAGGTCGTACTTGTAGATTTGATGAAGCTTAGTTGAGAATCGGACTCTTTGGGAGTGAAAGATTGACATGGTGGAGTAATTTGAATTTTTGTCTCGAGGGCCAACTTCTTTGACGTTGCGAAATTTGACTGAACTTGGCTCTGAGAGAATATTTCACTCCCAGGTCCGTAGAGGACACCGCGTATAGATGTTGAGTCTTGCCCTCCGAGGTGGAGGACTCGTGTGAGAATGATAAGTCACATTTTTGTTGAGAAGCCGTCTGTAAGGATTCTGGAGAAATGCCTCAGGCAGGATTTATGGGTTCCCTGTTCAGCACCACTAGGCTTATTGCCTAGCGAGGATAGTTATGTAGTTTTCACTTCGGATACTGATATCTTTACGCTTTGTTTTCTGTCTTTAGGAATAGTTACATTATTCTAATCACATCTCACTCTCGTCCTCTGCCAACCACAGTTACCCACCGTCACCTCCGGCCTCCCTATCTAGAACGACTCCCCGCTTTCCCATTTACCACTTCTCTAGAAAGCCTTCCGCGTTCCCACGAGGTGTCCTTCCTCAGTACATCGTACGCTACGCCCTCTCCTACGCCTCGAGTCTTGCGCCCAGTGAACCTGCGCCTGACACCGTCGATTTTAGATATGCTTGAGGTTGCTTTCGACTTCGATTCGGATGCGAGTCTTCTTGGCTAT